AAATTACCAAAAAGTTGTCATGCAGAATTACCCAAGATAATAAATAAGGTTTAAATGTGTCTCTGTCCCGTGAAATGTGTAGCTCAATGGTGTCACTGCAAGGTGTGAGATTATTCGCAGATATCGATCTCGGCCGATCAGCGAGCGATGCCAAACTTCGCCATTTGTGCGCTACCACAACACAAAGGCGGATTACTTCACGATGTTTTGATTGCGGGACCCAAACGTGTGATATTACACATTTTAAAACCACATTTTAAACCTTTAAAATCCTCTAATTTCAACCTTATACCTCTTAAAATTAGACTTACGCTATAATATAGAGTAAACTTTGTCAAAATTGACGAAGCGTAATGTTTTAACGACTCAACACTTCTCAGAAGATTATTTGGGCTCTTTGTGGCAGCTTGTAAGGTATTTTGGCTACTTTAAGGTTTAAGGAAGGAAACAACACGGTCCAGATTTAAGATACCGTGAATGTAACACTTAGTTTTTTGGGGTAAGTAGGAGTTTAAGTGGCATGTGTCTGCTATAAGTTGACGGACATGTGTTAACGTTATTTTTTGCAGATTTTCTGACTGATACTGTGATACTCATACCGTTACAGAGAGGTGTATAAAATTAATCAGATTTTTACAATGCTATCAACGAGACTAATGAAAGAGATCAAAATTGTTAAATCTGGTGACATATACGGGGCATATTTATTTCTCACACTTATGGTCCGTTTAACAGCTCTCTGTGACTAAGCTACACGCTTCGATGACGAAATTTCCAAATTCAAAGTCATTCAACAGTCGTTAACTTCAAAATCTCGAACCGTGAGAGAAACGCGACGGAAACAAAGACTTATCTGAACAGTAGCTAAAACCTACTTTCACAAAAGAACTATGCAAAAGTCATGCGTAATAACAACAATGGTAGGGCACAATGCTACCCTAAATCTTATCATTAGAGAGCTAATCCTTCAACGAAAGACGGCGATAATAAAACATAATCCTCTGAACAATTCATTCAAAGGAAAACAGGACAGGAAGACGCCATAGCCGAGTGAATAATTGAAGTAATATTTGCTAGGATTCTAAAGATGAAACTTGATTTACATCGCCATGTTTATTTGCAACTCTTACAAAATGGCGGGCTATTTCCATAGAACCGAAATATATTTTTAATCGCTGTATGTTCAAAGATATTTTCTGACAGAACTAAAAACCAGAAAAACTTGATTTCAGCCTGGAGCCTGGGGGTCTGACCTATACGCTAAATAAAATATCTAAGTCACTTTGAGGTAGGTACAAAGAATAAAAACCATATACAGGACGATGACAGTATTGTTCACAAAAGGAAATATAAACTGCGAAGCTGGAATTTCTAAGAATCCTGTCAATATAGGTTACTGACCATTGGCCATAATCCCTACAACGTCCGGCATCGATTACTTGCGCGCTAAACACAATGCGTAATCCTCCATTGTGAACGAAAATATGTCAAAATAATGCTTTGTTCATTCCGGAAGGATTAAGTCTTAAGGAATAGTCAGATAACGTTTTCAATCAAAGTTTATTTCGTTTTTGCATAACACTAACCGTTTGATAAGGCTCTGATAAGAGCATAAGTAATGGAATATTGTGAGAATAGTGCTTCCTTTTTTTGGATTTTTGGCACGTTTGACATGCTTAATCTGGATTTTGAGCCGCAATAGAAAAAGGTTGACGAACAGTACATAATACTAACTACTAATTCTTCTTTTTTTTCATTTGTCTAAACATTTTAATACTTACAACAGTCCTTTCCGTCTTCATCCTTGCTACCATAGCTACATATTTTATTATTATCACGATCATAAATCCAACAACAACAACAACAACTCTTTCGCCCTATTTACACAATTATAACAGCCAATTAATCTCAATCAAATCTATGTTTCCTACTAATATTTTAAATGTCAACGTTTGTGAGAATGTATAGATGTAGGTATGTTTGTTATTCTTTAATAAAACGGAACTCGATAACGGCTGGACCGATTTGTTTGAAATTTGGTAAATGTGATACTATAGATTAACTTATAAACTTTTATTAACATACAAGTAATAAATAATTCAAACTCTTCAATTCGAATTGATCATTTATTTCGATAATTGCTTTAAACATAAATTAAGTGTAGTTATAAATAGTTATAAATATTGTTCATTATCAAAGTCCGGTCTTCTTAAGCTTGATCAACGTACGTAGTAGGAGTAAGGACTGTAGGCGTAGGCAGAATACGGAAGGGCGTAGTCGTAGGCACTGTAGGAATAGGCGACGGGCGCGGTGTAGGCGCTGTAGGCGGCCACGGGGGCGCTGTAGGCAACTGGGTAGTCGTATTCCACTACAAGAGGTTTGGGCTTAGCTGAGGCGAAAGCCAGAAGAGCAGCGAACAACACCTGTGAGAAAAAAGGGATTAAAACCATTATGAGACATTTCTATCGGAATCATTAAATCCGCTAGTTAAAGATACTGTATGTTTTATGCAACAAAAAAGCAAGTATTCTTGTAGCTAGGTACAGTTACTAGTTAAATTATTTAGGTAGGTACCTACTTAAGAACAAAAAATCGACAAAAAGCAAAAAACATACACAAAATTCTTACAAACCAATACAAATAAAAATGAACATAAAAATCAATAGAGAAATTTATGTAAAGCAAACTAAGTAAGTACCTACATACTTAAATACGATAAATAATTAGTAAAAGACACTTACGTATTTGAACATTTTGAGGTGGTTTAGGTTTTCTCTGAGGCGTTAGATACGACAGGACACAAGATCCGATGTAGGTACAATGATTGATCAGACAACGATCTCCTTTTATATATCATCGAATCGATCAAAATACGTGCCTAGCATAGCTCGGTCAAAGGATAAACCGTCAAAATATCCTGCATATTATGTATGGTGCGCACGCGCAGCCTTGCGCCGTGTCACCGGAAGGAAAAAGGTTGTATTAGACCAAGGACTTTGCTTGGCCCTACTTCTAAGCATGGTTATGATGTTAGACCCTGTTCCCGATAAAGTCCATAAGGATAAAGAACTACCTAATAATAGCCTTTTATGCATAATTATCTTATTTACAAGTATGCATAAATCGTTTTAGGAAATAATATTTAGCGAAGAAAATAACAAAACAATTTAAATTTACATTAAAAGAACTGCGGCTATTTGGCGAGACGTTTATAACAAAAAACATAACCTAAATCTATATCTACACTATTATTATAAAGAGGTAAAATTTGTAAGTTTGTATGTAGGGGTTAATCTTTGAAACCGCTGGTCGGATTTCCAAAATTCTTTCACTGAATGATAACTACAATATTCCTGAGTGTTATAGGCTAAAAATATTACGCATATTCTACAACATTATTTACCTTCTGCACAGGTCTTTGCGAGTAAATCTAGCTCGCCTCTCGAACAGAACCCGAGCAAACGGAGCGGTGTCTCACGTTCTCAAAGAGCCATCAAACCACCACGGATGGGTAACACTAAGGCCTACCAGCCGGGGTTGCGAGACTGCCCAAGTTCTAGCATCCCGGGCCCGGAGCATAAAAAGGAACGGGGAGGTTTTTAGTCGGTAAGACTCTGACACTTCCTGTCGTCCCATCCAGGTTTGGAGAAATGATTGGATGATTTTCCAATCATCAACAAGTCCTTCTATTCACTTATCTTAGCGCTATTGCCATGCAACAACAACGACCTCTGACCACCCTTTAGTCTTCCTTATCCAATAACCATGTTCCTAGCTAGGTAACTACTTCCCCGCAACAAACTCCTCAATAAACGATAGATCCCCATTTGTAACACGACTAAACATGATTAGCCTTCAATTTGTATAATACGAACAAACCCGAGCTAACCCGTGCTCCATTTAATAACAATTTACGTCTAACGAACTCGTGTAACAAAACTCCGTCATTTTGTCGAACGATCCGCCATGATTAGTGAGCAAGGTACCTTTCCCGCCATTTTCGCAGTAATGGCGACATACACTCCCGTTACAGAGTAATTACCGCCCTTTGAGAGCTGAGCCGAGCATTGCCGGTAAATACTGCTTTGTCGATAGTTTATCCAGGGGTGAGTTTTACTTTTAATAGAAGTGTGCTGGTTTAGTGTTAGGTTGAGGACGCTTACCTATTTTGTTAAGTGGGTTCTACTAAATTGCTTGCAAATGCTTATAATCAGCTGAGGTTGCGGAGCAAGCGCAATAAGGAGGTTGGCATCGGCCTAGAGTAGGAGAAAAAAAGAGATGGTTTTTAGTCAGTAAGAGTCAAATTTCCTCTCGCCCCACTCAGGATGAGAGAAGTGATATAATTTTATTATTATCCCCCATCACAAAAATAAACATTAGAAAAATAAACAACAAAGTGTTTATGACAAACCCGTCAATGTTGAGGACACGCATAGGTATATCAACAATGAACTTTCGCGGCCTGTTGATGATGATATAATGAGAGTTCTTGTAGTGCACATGTCATTTTTCTAAGTATTGTTTTCGCATACATTCTGGAATAATATTTTGCTACTTTCCCATTGTTACGATGATATAATGATACTTAAATACCACTCTAATGATCAGTAATAACTATGTTTAACGTCATACCCGTTAGCTAGACTCTAAGGAAGGTACAAACAAAATGTGCACTTATCGAGTATTGTGAATTTTTACTATATACTACCTATTTTTCAATACACATTTTGTGAAAAAATAAACTAGTAGCGGCATCTATGAAAAGATTACTTTAACCATATTTCAACTAGTTTCAATTTGTTCCGATAGATGGTATTGTGAGTCAAGACATTTTTTACTGATCTAATCAATGAACCAGCTTTTGAATTAACTTAAAAAAATTGAAATTATTTGAAATCTGGAACTATAATATAATTTCTAGTTATTAGATAAAAAACACTGGTGATGATGTTTCAGAACGTCAAAACATTAACTGTCATTCATTTTATTTTAGATGTCAAAGTTCATCTTGGTTTGTGTTTGTGTCAACGAAGATTAAACTTGTTTGATAATAATTTAGATAGAAATAAGCTAAACTAATAAACTTACAATGATCGGTGTGCGCCTTAACTCTTTTAATGATACTTCTGGTGAACCAGAACAGGATGCTAACTCAGCATTAACTGAATTAGATAAAGGTAAAACTTAACCTTACTTTAATGGTTATTTTTCCTTTAATATGGTGCTAAAATAAAACAATTTGCCTATTTCCAGGTCTCCGATCAGGAAAAGTAGGCGAGCAATGCGAAGCTATAGTCCGTTTCCCACGTCTATTTGAAAAATATCCATTCCCTATACTCATAAACTCATCATTTTTAAAACTCGCCGATGTGTTTCGAATGGGCAATAATTTCCTTCGTCTGTGGGTGCTGCGTGTCTGCCAACAAAGCGAGAAGCATTTGGATAAGATTCTGAACGTGGATGAATTTCTAAGGAGAGTTTTTAGCGTGTTACATTCCAATGACCCGGTAGCCAGGGCTCTAGCTCTAAGGACCCTTGGTGCGGTGGCTGGGATCATACCAGAGAGACAGAATGTACACCACGCTATACGCAGGGGACTGGACAGCCATGACAATGTGGAGGTTGATGCTGCTATTTATGCTACAACAAGATTTGCTGAGCATTCGAAGTAAGAAATTTTATAGAGTCAAAATAGACTGTATATATATTTTTTTACTAACCATTAACCATCTAATTGAATAAGGATGAAAACCATTACAATTCTCAACATCCTGAAAAATTCAACATAAGTGCTATCAAACATTGCTATTTATTTTTACAAACTGGGCATGACAATTATTTTTCATGTGTTATTTTACTTGGTGCATTTAAATATTATTAATTATTTTGTCTCCAGTGCATTTGCAGTAGCCATGTGTAATAAGCTGTGGGATATGGTGGACTGTGAGAGCACAGCGGCAGAGCGCAGAGCTAAGCTTGTGAGAGCTCTCCGGACTGTACATGGTGGAGGTAAGTTTGTTCAGATTTGTTATAAAGTGTAATCTGCTGTACTGTTTTTGATGATTAATTTAAAAAAACCTCATAATTTACCTATAAGCCCATTAGTGGACAAAAGCACATGAAGAAGAGAAGGTTTGAAGACTAATCGCTATGCTTCCTAAAGGCGGTGATTTCAAACTTTTAATTATAAATTATAAGTCTAGTTTTCCTCACAATATTTTCCTTCACTATTTGTCAGTGATGTCTTAATATTTATATAAAAAATACTTATAACTTTTAAAAAAGGCACATTAGCAGTTAAGTTCCAACTTCATGCATGAGAAACAAGCACCTCTGGGCTACCATGACATGCAGAAAACTCAATGTAAATAAACATCTTTTATAAATTTTTAACGTGAATTGTAATAAATGATACCTAAGGTTATACATTTATAACAAGTTTCTTATATGTTTCAAGCTGTGAGGGCCCAAGGAGTACTGAAACTTCTCCGCTCGCTACTGGAGAGGTTTCCATCTTCGAGTTCAGTGCGTGCGGCCATTACTGCGCTCACTCATATAGCTGCCGACACCGTAGTGCATGTGCCTGATCAAGTAAGTTTGTGGAACTTTATATATATATGCTGGGTTCTCCTCTTGTGTCGTGGAAAGTGTTGTGTGTGTAACCTAGACCAGAACAACAATTTGTGGATTGCACAAAGAGCTGTTCCGTGCGAAAATCAAACCCGCGACACGTTGCACGGCAGCCGGTTGCCCAACCATCGCGACAACTGTGCTTATTTTTTTTTCAAACAATACACATATGTATACTCCAGGACATTAAACTACTTCAAACTATAAAATGTATGTGTTCATCATTGCTCTTCAATCTTAATTTTTGTAATAACATTGACAATCTGATAGTGTTAAAAAAGTCTTAGTCTCCTTCTATTTTTATACTTAACTATGAAAAATAAATCAGTTTCTCAAATACGTAACTTTCCTTTCCTGCAGGTGGAACTCCTGCTCAGCATATCAGCAAACGACGCGCGTTCGTCAGTGCGTCGCGCGGCCCTGCTGGGGCTGCGCAAGCTGGCCGAGCACGCGGCGCTGTGGCCCGCCGACTGCGTCGAGAAACTTGTCCGCGCCGCCACCGACGCGCAGGAGATGGAGCATACCATGCTATGTCTGCAAGTTATGCAAGTCAGTACAGAATATATTTTATATTACATAGACACTTATATAATCATGTATAAATGTGGGAGAGCCAAGCTTCGGCACGAATGGGTCGGCTTGGCCAAAGTGATACCACGGCCTCACAGAATACCGCCGTGAAACAACCATAACGTTGTGTTTCGCCGTGTGAGTGAGGTCGCCGGAGGCCCAATCCCGCCCCTTCCCCTATCCCTTTCCGATCCTTATATCCGCAACCCCTATCCCCAAAAGGCGGGCAACGCACTCGTAACTTCTTTGGTGTTGCGGGTGTCCATGGGCGGCGCCAATTGCTTACCATCAGGTAATCCGTCTGCTCGTTTGCCGACTTATATCATAAAAAAATCATACTAATATTATAAATGAGAAATTTAACATGATTGGGTGTTTGGATGTTTGTTATTCATCAACATACTACGCTGGCGAAGCTGCGGGTGGAAGCTAGTAATAATAATATGTCCTGATAGGAAATTACAGTAGCGACTGACTCTTCTAAAGTGTTACTTCTAAATGAATAGTGTTTATGACCACTTTGCTCATCTACTTGTTACAATATTTTCAATGATTCCTTGTCCGTGGTAACTTTAGCGTATTCAATCAGTTCTCAGTCTAACATGATCCATAACACATTTATATTATAATGATGATGATGCAAGTATAGGAACTTAGGCTATACCAGTAATAAGCTTTTGCCTCTTTTGTCTAAAAAGTAAAAATGCTAAGTATAAAGTAAGTTGTTTTTGTAGTAGATAAATAAAAAAATCGCCAAGTCTGAATATAAATGTTTCGTTTATCGTACTATTCGTTCCTTTATTCATTCGAGTAATAAATCAACTTTGTTGAATGGGAAATTAAAACTGTCTAGCTATCATCATAGTACATTTATGAGATGCATGCTGTTGACCAAGAGACGGACGCTACGGAACTCTTAAACTACTTATTAGACATTGACTAAGAAAGCTTCTGCTTGTCACAGAAGCTGGTATCATGCCCGGCAGTATGCGCGGCGGCGGGGTCCCCGGCGGGGGGCTGCGCGGCCGTGCGGCGCTACTGCAGCGAGGCCGCGCTGTCCGCCGACCTCACGCGCGCCGCCACCGCCGCGGACGTACTCACGCGCCTCATTGTGCACTGGTAAGTTATACTAGCTCAGGGATGTTAGGAAGCTACATAACATCATACGTCAAAAGGGCGAAGGAACAGGAGATTAAAAAAACAACGTACTGGAAAATATGTTTTTTGGGACCACAATGTTTTCAACGCATGTTTCAGTCGCGTTCAAAATTAAAATTAAAGTGTATCTAAGTAATAAATAAAAAGTTTTTTCTTTAAACGAATTGCAAAATGTACAACGATAATCGTTTCCGAAACTAACGGATGTTCCGAAGTAATTTTAATTTTGATACCAGTATAATAATCATTTCTATAATGGTGATGATGATGATATCCGTATCCAAATTCTTCAAAAAGTAAAAAATCATTTATTCCAATTAGACCTTTACAGGCACTTTTGAACGTCAAACAAAATTTTGAAGATATAGTGTCATTCTGTCGATCAGTCCTCTTAGTGAAGCTATTCGCTCATCCCAAAGTGTAGATTCCGATGGAGAAGAACGAGCAAGAAACTCCATGGATACTCTTTTTAAATCAGTTTCACATACAGATTCCTTTTACAAACAGTTGGTTCAATTATGTCTTATATCCATAACATCCCTTGTTTTTATTTCCTCAAGTCATATTTACCATTTTTGAGGTTACTTTGATCTTACTGGGGGAAAACGTTGATCCAAATTTCCAAACAAATGAAAAACGAATTAACTAAATTACTAGTTCTGGGTTATTACTGATTAAGGAATTTGGATAAACGTTACCTCCCAGGGTCCAAGTAACATGGTATAATACACCTTTATTCAATCTATTCAAGTAGGTATGTATTTTTTATTGCCTTCAATTAACTCATGCCTAATCTCAAAAAAACATTTAGCACGATGCTTGCAATAAAAAAACAACTTGGGTATTCAAGGATTGTCTGTATAGCATAGTATTGAAAAACACTCAACCAACCCCAATTTAAGTGTGGGAGAGCCATGCTTCGGCACGAATGGGTCGGCTCGACCGGAGTGATACCACGGCCTAACAGAAAACCGGCGTGAAATAACCACAGCGTTGTGTTTCGCCGTGTGAGTGAGGTTACCGGAGGCCCAATCCTTCCCCTCCCCCAATCCCTCCTCAATCCCTAAATCTCCAAATCCCTAATCCCTAACTCCTCGTAACTCCTCCGTTGCGAGTGTCCATAGGCGGCGCTGATTGCGTACCATCAGGTAATCCGTCTGCTCGTTTGCCGACCTATTACATAAAAAAACCCCCTGACGTAGCTATTATAGTACCAAGTTGCGCAACTAATAATTCCGTTGCGCAACTAATAATTCCGTTGCGCAACTAATCATTCCATTGCGCAACTAATAATTCTGTTGCGCAACAATGTTGTTAACATATTGTTTGCTTTGCTATCATATTTATTAAAATATGATTTCAGCTATGAAGAAAATCTACCAGTTGAAGGTGGGGACCTGATGCTGGCTCTAGAAACCTTGGTCATTGCCACCGGGGAAAACAATAGTCCGAGCAACATCAAGGCGCTGAGAGTTGCGCTACGATGCTTGGTAAGTTATCGACTAAAGTTATATAGTACTTACTTATTTTCTGTTTACATGAAACTAATTGGGAAGTTTCGTAGGTGAAAAAAAAATTAACTCGACGTTTCGATACAATAAAATATTGAAAAATCTATTTACATACATATATTCATCAATCTATCGATACACAAAATCTAGCAAATTTTTAAGAAACAATTAACCTATTTGACGCAAAAATACTATAACATTTTTTAGTTTAAAATTTCATAAGAAAACGACCGTATTTTCAATTGACAATGTTCTTCGCAGTTGGGAAAATAGCATAAGGTCTCGTGTTTTATTAGTTGCCCAAACTAGTCCAATGTGGAGGTTGCGTATTTCAATGTATTTTAAATTTAAGGATTTAAACCTAAATACTCTTAATGTGAGATTGATTGATACAAACTATTTTGTCTCGACCGACTTCTGTAGATGCCAAAAAAATATGGCGTTACCTCATAATTACACTTAGTAGATTTATATTTACATGTAGATTTTTTTGTCTTTTAAAATAATACACAAACTGCCTTTACAATGCATTTGCATGTATTGGAACGTTACTTGTCAAAAATTTCATGTGTAAGTGAGAGGTCCGATGTTCGCTCTCTCTCAATTTGGTGATACTAGCGACGAGATGTGCCGGTGTAATTAATTTTGATTTTTACAAACAAAAAGCGTTTATTTTATGTCGGAATTTCAGTTGAAAGGTTCCCCCAACTACATGTAATTTTATAGCATATTGTAAAAGATACCATGGGACTGTCATACTAATATCTTTATGGATAACAGTTCCAAAAGTGTAATCTATACTTCTATACTAATATAATAAAGAGGTAAAATTTGTAAGTTTGTATGTAGGGGGTAATCTTTGGAACCGCTGGTCGGATTGCCAAAATTCTTTCACTGATAGATAGCTACAATGTTCCTGAATGCTATAGGCTATAAAACGTCTCGCTACGATTAAATGGAGCCCAGCCGAAACCGCGCGAGAATAGCTAGTAGTAAATAAATAAAGCGTTTGTCTTTGTATGTAGGTGCAACTAAGTCTCGCGGAGCCGTCAGTGTACGCGGGGCGCACGGCGGGCGTGGTGGGGCGCCAGCTGCAGGCGGGCGCGGGCGGCCCGCGCGCCCCCGCCCTGCTCGAGGCGCTCGGGGCCCTCGCTGGGGCCCCGCATGCACCCGCGCATCTAGGGCCCGCCATGCCCGCCTTGCACCATGTACTCGAACAGATGGAACGGTGAGTGCCATTTTCTTAGTATTTTACCAGAATTACCTGGTCGTACGCAATCAGCGCCGCCCATGTACTCTTAATACCAAAACAGTTGCTACAAATGTGCTGCCGACCTCTTGTCGGTTATGAAGAATTGAAGGATATGGGATTTGAGAATTGGGAATGGGGTAAAGAAGACTTGGGCCTCCAATAATCTCAATCCCGCGTTGAAACACAACGCTGTGGTTGGTTCACGCCGGGTTTCTGTGATCCCGTGGTATTAAACAGGTTGAGTTGAAATTTCAAAATTGGAAAATGTTGAATTAGAATTTACATTTTGAAAGAGCATCTAACTTCACTGACGAACAGACTGTTAGACTATTATTCTATTTAGATGTTTCAAAAGTATCTCTTTATGGTTTACTTGGAATTGATAAAGTGTGGGAGAGCCATGCTTTGGCGCACGAATGGGTCGTCTCAACCGGATTGATACCACGACCTTACAGAAAATTAGCGTGATCACATCACGCATCACGTTGTGTTTCGCCATGTGAGTGAGGTTATCTAAGGCCGAATCGTTCGTCTCCCAATCCCAAAATCTCTAATCTTCGAAAAGTAGGCAACGCATTCATAACTCTTCCGTTGTTGCGAGTGTACATGGGCGGCGCTGATTGCTTACCATCAGGTAATCTGTCTGCTCGTTTGCCGATCTGTGACATAAAAACAAACGCTTTAGTTTTGATATAAGCACTTTTCTTGTTTGTCCAGAGAGAACACAATCGAGAACCCGTCAGATGATGGTACGACGTTAGTGTTGGTGTGCACGGTCCTGCTGCAGGAGCGCGCGGCGAGGGCCCTCACCCGCCGCCTGGAGCCGCGCTGGCGGCTGCGGCTGCTGCAAGCTGTACGGGGGGCCGACGGCTGGGTGCGGTACAGGGTCGCCAGGGCTGCGCTCAGGTTATACACCTTATTCATTATTCAATTTAAACCGAATCTTCTAAAAGCAGATTTTTTATGTGATAGTATAGATATAAGGTTTTTCATTGAAGTGGATTGCTTTGTGTTTCAGAAATAAAAGTTGTTTTTATTTTTATTCCTTAGTATATTGCATTGAAATAACGTTCATTTTACGTATTAGGAAACCTAATGTAGGTTTGCGCAATCGTAATTATATGCGCAAACTTTTGCGCAACTTGGCTCACTAATTCTAAAACCCCGACGAGATACAATATGTTTTTAAAATTAGTTTACTTTTATATGCGTATCAATAATATAAGTTGGGAGGGATGAAAGAACAGGGTGTGAACTTCTTCATTCTCCATTAAAAAGGAAGATCCTCCGACCAAACGAAGTATTATGTTAAGTGGGCTACTACCCAACGGTTGTTGTCGGGATCGGGGTTGTTGGGACGATTAATTAATTTAATTATGTATTATACCGCGATATAGAAACTTGATTGTGATTAGTGTTATTACTGCGTATTATGCGATCAATGTCGCTACATTAAAAAAAGATATGAAACATTGGTTATATCATTATAAAATGGTCACCTAACATAAAATGTGTATGTATATGTGGGTCCAGATACGGGCACCACCGTCTAGCGAGTGACATCCTGTCCCGGCTGTCGCAGGAGGCGCCGAGCGAGCCCGCCCAGCGCTGGCTCACCGCGCTATACCGCGCCGCGCAAGCTGACGCCAAGCTCGTTGAAGAAGGTAACGCTAACTTGCTTTGTTTTTTATCAAATAGGTCGGCAAACGAGCAGATTGATTACCTGATGGAAATGGAGATGGGATAAAATGACAATCAATAGGGTAGTTACCTATAACAAAAATAAATTTTATTATGTAGTAATACTACAATTAATTATTAAAATAGAATTATACTTTCATTCATATTTGACCATACATATACTTAATTTTAAGTTTGGTACTTTTTCTAGTAGGTATTCTATTTTACTTAAAAAGATAATGACGTAATAATATGTTGTGACTGTAGTTTCATATAAAAAAATTCATAACATTTCACTTTTAGTTGAAAACTACCGGATTGCCCCACAACTTGAATCGATAATTATCTCTTACAGGCATAGCAGGTCTAGAAGAAGCTAGTTCAGGATGGGAAGTATGCAGTGGTTGGGGCGGGGCCGGCGGGGCTGGCGGGGCCGGCGGGGCGGGCGGCGTGGGCTGCGGGGCCGGCTGCGGGGGCTGCGGGGCCTGCTCCCCGCTGCCGCCCGCCTGGATGAAGGCGCGCGCCATGGCACTCAGCGCGCTGGCTCGCACCGCCATCGCTGCCAGGACACTCTGCACCCAGCCACCCCCGGCCATTGCGCATACTTTCTCGCAAGTAAGTAAACAATTGTTTATATACTTTGTAATTACGATATAAAATAATAGAGTGTCTACGTCTTTAGAAAGCCTAAACCAAGTAAGACATATTAAATACATACACCTCACAAATTAAATTAAGAGTCTCATATAATAACGCACACATAGACACAAACCAATTTTGCTGCCATTTCTAACTATTATTTTATGCGCAAGCATGGCGCAAAGTCTCACTTATAAAAATTGGCATTGCGCAACAAGCATCTAGTTCATAAACTGATTGTTTTTGTAAGACATGTCCACCACAACCTCCCAAAACCACTGCAACTCCTGTAAGCCTTGATATGAAAACACCGGAACATGAAAGTCCCAAGATATGGTTGATTGTCTTGGAATCTTGCAACGAAATGTTCTAAGACAATCATTCATGCTAAAATTTCTTATGTGATAGCATCCGTATGCTAGATTGCCGTCCATGATGGTAAGCAATCGCCGCCGCCCATGGACATCTTCATCACCAGAAGAGTCGATAGTATGTTGTCGACGTTTTTAGGGATTAGGGAGGACCGGACCCAATTTCTATGAGGCCGTGGTTTCACAAATCACAAGATATTGTTTGAGGATTTATTAGTTTCCACTTACTAAATTTTTCCACTACATTATGTCACCCTAAAACTTATTTCTGACACAAAAGTAATGTTTATTGTGTCGTGGTGGCCCGTAGGTTAAGGGACCCGCTTCTCATGTATGAGGGTGTGGATTCGAAACCTGGCAAGTACCAATGTGACTTTTTCCGAGTTATATGTGCTTTCTCTGATTATTTAGACACCACTGACATACGGTGAAGGTAAACATCGTGAGGAAACCTGGACTTATAATTTCTAATTATAAGTTTGAAATCGCGAACTCGCATTGAGCAACTATGGTGATTAATGCTCTAACCTTCTCCTTATGAGAAGAGGCCTTCGCTCAGCAGTGGTCACTTATAGGCTGATGATGATGATGATGGTGATAATGTATCTTTGACCCTGTACCCGTCCCTGCAGACGAGCCGCGACCCTGCGCTGAAGGCCGGGGCGTTTGCCCCCGCGCTGCGCAAGGCGGCGCGCGGCGTCTGGCAGGTCGCGCAGCGATACTCCGCCATGGCGCGCACCGCGTTCCATGCTGACGACTCCACGCTCAGGCACTTGCACATGTATCCTTTTCTATAACAATTACCATCGAAATCGATCCATCATTAACGAAATAAATAATATGCGAACAGTAACGTTATATGGTCAAGGAACTACAAATATTTCCGCCCGGTGTTTTGGGGATTTGGGGTTATGGGGATCACTCTGGTAATATCACACACACGGCGAAAACACAATGCTGTGATTGTTTCACACCTGTTTTCTGTGAGGCGGTGGTATCTTTCGTCAATCCGGTTCATTAATGCCGAAGCATGGCTCTCCCACAATTAATGAATGTATTGGCTATAAATGTAAAAATAATGAAACAAAAAATTCATTGTTAATTGTATAAAAATATTTCCTTTTATAAATACAACTTAAGTATGCCATCTTTTATTTGTAACATTGTCCAAACTCTTGATATAACTTAATATTGATAAACATTCCTGAACCAAATCCCACCAGTTCTCAGCACACGTACAGTCAGTTAGCTCAGTTCCTGGAGCGAGTGACCTCCAACAGTCAGGAGCGTCCCCCAGAGCTGGACAACGTGGACCTGAAGCCCACCACCCTGGAGGAGAAGATAGCTCTGTCTGCCAGCGTTGAACTTGCCGAGATTTCCAGCAAACTCTTCGATAATCCCACTACTGGTCCCGGAATTACGCATAGGGTAAGTCTGTGAACTTTTGAATGTTTTGTGGTCGGTAGATGGCATGAAAGTAGTTTTAGGTGTAAAATTGTTACCAAAGCGTACGGTGTACGCTTACGCAAACGGTAGGCGTTCCGCGCGCCAGTAGGCCACTACTAAACGGGGCCCTATAGGGCTGATGTTCAGCCGGGGTTGCGGAGCATGCGCAATGAGGCACCGCGACTTCGCCCTAACGTTGGAGAAGCAACTGGGGGGTTTTTAGTGAGTAAGAGTCTGACACTCCCTCCATCATACCTTGGGCGAGAGATGTGATTTGATGATTGTCCCCTTACAAAAGTAAATTCTATTTAGGTTTTAGAATTCAGTGCCAAAAAGGAACCTTAAAACCCTGGGTATCAAGTTTTTTTTATAACAGATGACATTCTAATTCCGCGCCAAAATGGAAAACAGCAGCGCTGTGCTTAAATTTTGATTATGGAACCATAAAAATCTTACTACAAGATACTTTTTTACTGATTTGGAAACTTCAACTTTCAAATAAAATAATATTTTGAATTTTGTTTAAAAAACTTATGTATGCTAAAAAAAGTTAAGAATTGTAAGAATATGACAGTAATGTTCTAAGTCTAACTTGGGGTTTTATAATGTTGTATTCTTTTCTGAAACGATTACTATGTATTTCCGACGTGGATGACGAAGTCAAGGTTAGAGTCATTCGGGTCAGGAAGACGCAGTTTAACTTTCTCCACTACATCAAAACAAAAATAATAGATTTATAAGAATGTGGTATTGACATTTAGGTAGGAAAATTATTGCTTTAGTAAAAATATATATTTGCAAACTGGCCCTGTGCATAGTTTTCTTAGAATAACTTAATAATGAGCCTCGGTCAGAATGCGATCACTTGACCCTTAATGCATGTAACAGTACGCAGTTTTGCGGGCAAAAGTTCGCATATGGGGTTAGTAAACGCGATGAGATAATTTGTGGGAAATTAATTAAAACAAAACAAATAATCAAAGATATATTTTAATAAACGTATTGCACATCCTTCCCTAATTCCAACTTCTTCTGTGCCAAGCTTTTGACTCTTCCCTCCAGCTACCTAGGAGCTTTGGCTTCAGTGATTTATTCCTCTCAAGTCAAGTTGTTTTCTGATGTAATTTTGGGGCATTTTTTTTTTCTTGCTATAAACTAGTACTTGACTGCGATCCCACCTGATGGTAAGCAGTGACGCAATCGTTGATGGTAAGGCGCGCTAGTTTATTAAAAGCCTATTAACTCCAGCCTTGAAGACACCTAAATTATATTCGGACGGAAAGACTGCAGCCGACAAACTGTTCCAATCCCTCGATATACGCGGTATAAGTGACGAGGCAAAACGCTTAGTCCGGGCCGCAGGTGTCTCAACAACTTAAGGGTGTATACTTGCCGTACGCCGGGATGTCCGAAGGTGAACTTGGGATGGCGGAATCAAATCGTACAATTCCTGCGCACACTCCCCAAAATGCATCCTGCTGAAAACCGCAAGGCGGCTACTCTGCGCCTGTGCTCGAGACTTTGAAGATTGGACCCAACCAAATCTGGATCAGCAATCAGCCTCTTTGCACGCTTTTCCACTGAATCCAAAGCCGTTAGGTGCCATTTTTAGCACCAGCCCATATGTGGCTGCAGTACTCCACACACGATCGGACCTGAGCATTATACAACATTAGAAGCTGACTCGGTGTGAAGTACCGTCGGACTTTTGCAAGAACGCCGAGTTTTCTAGCAGCCACCCCGGCCTTGGACTCAATGAACCGCCCAAAGTTGAGGTCTGAAGGAATGTCCATTCCCAAGAGCTGAAAACGGTCGGTGCACTCCAGGGATACATCCCGAAAAGCAGGAGGCAAGGTGAACGGGCTCCTTTTGGCGGTGAATAGACACGCCTGTATTTTGGTAGCATTGAATGCTACCAGATTAGCTTTGCCCCACTTGGAAACTACCTGAAGTGAGACATTCGCACGCTCTAGCCTCCCTTTCAGACTGGATTAGCTCCTCCAAAGATACCAGGCACTAGCAGATCGTTAATGTGGAGCAGGAATGGAGTTGCAGAGAGAACGGACCCCTGAGGAACACTGCATTAGTCGACATAGGCTCTGATTAGCATCCATCGACAACAACTCGGAGTTGTTCACTCAGGACGTCTCTTACCCAGTTTATCAGACCGGGAGTAATGCCGTACGGTGGTGACAATAGGCCATCGTGCCATACCCTATCGAAGGCCTTCGAGACGTCTAAGGAAACGGCAATAGCTTCCCCATTCCTCTCGAGGGCCTCGCCTTACAAGTGAGTGGCATAGAGGCATAGACTGTACGTCCCCAGTAGACCGATTGCGTCGAAATCCATACTGGCGGTCGCTGAGGAGATCGTTACCTTCTAGATATGCCATGAGACGCGAATTCAACACGCGCTCCATAATCTGGCAGAGTATGGAGGTTATCGAAATCGGCCGATAGTTGGCAGGATCGGCACCACTGCCCTTTTTGGGCACGGGTTGCACGTTGGCGAGCTTCCAGGACTTTGACACAATACCAGTCCTAAATGAGAGGCGATACTGGCGCGTCAATACAGGAGACAACTCGGGCGCACAAGCCTTGAGAAACTTATCACTGGTATACCATCCGGCCCTCTAGCTTTATTCACGTCTAGACGACACAGTGCTCTCAGAACTTCTTTGTTCCTTAAGCGAACCTCGGGCATCGAGGTGTCGCAGATAGGCAGAGTCGGTGGAATAGCACCGCAAGTGTCAAGGCGAGAATTATGGGCGAAGAGTGATGCAAAGAGACCTGCTTTCTCTCTCGCGATATGAGTCAGTGCACCATCAAGTCTAACCAGCAGAGGCAGTGTGGGCCGACAGAAGTTCGCTTCGACCGACTTGGCAAGGGACCAGAATGCTCTGCTACCGGACGGTTGTGCAGAGAGTTTTGTGCCAATGTAGGTAATGCGGTCGAAGCGAGCCCTCCCAGTGCCTTTTTGTAGGACTTGGCAGCATGGTTAAAGGCTCGCTTCTTTGAGCTCAGATCCGGAGCTTTTCGGTCACGAGCGTTAACCCAGGCGAGAAAAGCTGAATGTTTACGCTCTTCAGCTTGAGCGCATTCGGCATTGAACCATGGGTGAGCCAAGCCACCGATGGGTACGTCGGTATATGGGATGAAGTACTCCATAGCTTGACGTATCACATCGGATACATCCGCACACCTCGACGGATCTTTAGAAGAGAAGCAGACCTGCTACCAAGGATAAGATGCGAAGAAGTGCCGCATCTCATCCTAATCTGCTGACTTGTAACGCCACCGCGTGAGACACAGTTAGGTGGGGAGGACGATAAAGACTTCACCAGACAGTGATCTGAAGTTCCAAGGGACGAAGAAACTGTTACGATACATCTGTCTGGATCGGTAGTCAACAGAAGGTCCAGGCAATTGGCATTTATCTGAAACTTATAACTAAAAATAGCGGTGATATAACAGAGTATCTGCCCAAAAACAGAATTAGAATGCTCTAGCTTTTGTGACCCAAAGAAACCCATACTATAGGGTTAAGAGATCATATTATGCGTTCTCTTGACCCCGTTCTTTACCCCACGGGACACATTTTTAGATATCGCAACCAAACATACCGAGTTCGAAAAATAACCTTAACCACTTAATAGTACTTACCACGATTATCTTGTGTTTATGGAAGATATACACTTTTCTTAGCGCAATAAACTAAGTTTGAACCAGTGAAATTAACATTCTTTAGATTTTTTTTCTTTAGTAACACAGTGCAGCTAGCTTCAAACAGCTTGGCTTCAAGATGTCCGCTCGCTAGCCACTGATTTCGTCATACATGTGTCCCTAGTTCGTTCATTCCCTGCGGAGATTTTAGCATTGCGATCTCTTACCCGATGCGTGCTGTTACCCCGAATGACTCTACACTCATTGTCAATTAGTTTGCCAATAGGAAATATTTGATGATTTTTTTATGTATTTTATTTTATTTTGCAACAAACAGTCATGTACTTACAAACAGTATTATTTATGAAAGAAATGGTTCCTTACAATAGACCTATAGTGCCGACAATGTGGTAGTTCTTAAAATAAGTACAATAAACTCCTGAAAAGGAAAGACGTGCAAGAATTGCTTACATTAGGATTTTTTTTTTGATGATGTATCTTGTGTAGCACATGGAGGCGGTCCTGGCGGCGGTGTCAGCGTGTAGCGGAGGGGCAGTATGGCCGCGCGGGGTGTGCGCGGGGCGCGCGGGGGGCGCACACTGCCGCGTGTCGCTGAGCCCGGCGTGGCGCGTGGCCTGCGCCGCGCCGCCAGACCACGCCGCCACGCTGCCGCTCAGCCATCGACTCGCGCTCAAACTCGAAGGCGTCATACTACCCCCTGTGCCACTCAGGTATTATTAGTTATTTATTTATTTAAATAGAACGGCAGAAGCCAATTACACTATTTAAATATTTATAAACCACATTAACCTTTTAGAACAAATATTAATAGTAAAGTATGTACCGTAAAACGGGATAAATAAAATTTGAGGGGTGAATGGATACACGAAAGGGGTGAATAGATGTTGGCGAATTTTCCTTGTATCTATTCACCCCTCTTCTGTGTCTATTCACCCCGTCTTACCGTTACTCTAGTTTTGTGAAACCTACACACATTTTGAGTACCACTAAAGGTACTTTTGGACATCAAACAAAAAATCTATTAACAAAAATTCAACTTTATGTGTCAATCTATTTAAATAATAGTCTATAGAATTCAAAATTGAGTGACTTATTTAATATTGTGGTATGTGAAATCCTTCAGTAAACTTTAAAGATAGGAATCCGAAAAGAATAGAAAAGGTTATGAAATTCTCTCTAACAAATTTGAAAAGAAATCCTTTAAACTGTACAGCTTACTCTCGTAACTAAACGAACATGCTCGACTATGGTCTAGCCACGAACAGAACGTACAGCCTTCTGACTAAACATTTAATCGTCCTGTTTCTCCACCAGTAAACGCCAGAAACCGCGCCAAGTAAAAGGAGTTCAGATCACGGTCACTGCGACACCACATCCTCGCACCAATGAGAAGGTAAGCATCCTTATATTTAAATAAAGTATACATTAATAATAACTAACTTTGAATAAAGGTATGGAAGAGCCAAGCTTCAGCACGTAAGGGTCGGGTCGACCGGAGTGATACCACGGCCTCACAGAAAACCGGCATGAAACAAATGCAGCGTTTTTTTCGCCGTGTGAGTGAGGTTACCGAACGCCCCATCCTTCCCCTCCACCAATCTTTCCCCAATCCCTAAATCTACAAAACCCTAATTCCCAAAAGGTCAGCAAAGTACGTAACAACTCTGTTGTTGCGGGTATCCGTGGGTGGCGCTGATTGCTTACCACGAGGTAATCCGTAAGCTCGATTGTTGTCCTATCGTATGTAAAAAAAGTTGTTGTTTTAAGTAAGCCACTTTGATTGACTAAGTGCCCACTGCTTTGCTCAGCAGTGGGCACTTATAGGCTGATTATATGATGAAGTCGGTTTGCCGGCTGCAGTCTTTCCGTCCAAATATAATTTAGGTGTCTTCAAGGCTAGAGTGAATAGGCTCTTAATAAACTAGTGCGCCTTACCATCAACGATTGCATCACTGCTTACCATCAGGTAGGATTACAGTCGAGCACTAGTTTATAGAAAGTAAAAAAAAAAAGTCGTGGTGGCCCTGACGTTACGGCGCCCGCTTCTCATGCATGAGGGTGTGGTTTCGAAACCCAGCAAGTACCAATGTGGCTTTTTCCGAACTATACGTACTTTCTATGATTATTTAGACACCACTAACATACGGTGAAGGTAAACATCGTGAGGAAATCTGGACTTATAATTTCTAATTATAAGTTTGAAATCGCCAACCCGCATTGAGCAACCGTGGTGAATAATGCTCAAATCTTCTTTGTGTAAGAAAAGGTTGTGCTTTGCTCAGCAGTGGGCACTTATAGGCTGATGATGATGATGATGATGATGATGATATGATGCTGTGATGTAAATACCATTTATAACCTAAAATTCAATGTTGTCCCCAGACAGTGGAGTTGACGAATATCCCCCCAGTGCTAACGGCGGTCCAGACAGTGACTCCGGTCCGAGATTTCTTCTCAGCTCAGCAACTTGTGTCAGTGAATACGCCCGGCCTCTACACTGTAGCTGTTGAGGCTGCCTTCGTTGATGAAGATGACCAGCTGTGGAACACTGGGCCCAGAACTTCTATAGTTATTAGGGTAACAATTTGAATTTTTAAATTAAATTTTCTCCTAGATTGTATCTATTTCTTTCTATTTATTTTGTTAATCTGGGAATCTTTTCTTTTTAATATCCATTTTAACTTTCGAGGAATATATAGTGGGATATTTTGTGTAATGTTAATCCTTTTTTAACATGTTGCCTTATACCCATTTTTTTTAACATGTTGCCCCACACTAAGATTTTCTCCTATGTCGTGGGTGCGGTTACAAACATACAATTTCACAAACACTTGATATCGGAACAAATTTGCGGATAACACAAAGAGTTGTACCGTGCGGTAATCAAACCCGCGACACATTGCACGGCAGCAAGTTGCCCAGCCACCGCGTGAACCGTGCAGTTAAATTATATTAACGGCTTACACAAGTAACTTTTTGACGAGTTAACTGGTCTAATTTCGAGTGAATATCAGAGCTCATAAGCGTGAGAAGAATTGCGCGACGAAGGACTCCGCAATCATGGCGCAGTTAACGATGGCTGCTCGATCTACTGTTTTATTTTTATATGGATGTTTGTTTCAGGCTCATGAAGACCCCAGCGTGAAAGGAAGCAATCAGACGACACGCAGCAGGTTTTAGGTGAATTTCTTATTAAGAAAGTGAAAAAATTCGGCAGTTTCCTAAGTAAAAAAAAAATAATTCGACGTTTCAATACAATTAAATATCAAAAAAAAAACAAATACTTTTCTTCATCGATAATTATGTGAAATACGTTTAAGCAAATTTTTAACAAATTTGTAAGATGTTTGGCGCTGAAATACTATATGACTGGCAGGACCGATGGCTCTAAGTTAGCAGTTCTAAATAACTTTTTCATGCAAGTTTATACTGTGCGTGATTGTCGTTAATATATCAGCTGCAAAACTAAAACTTAAATCAATTACTAGATAAAAACGATTTAATGTTCTGCCTACGAAAATACGGATTACCTGATGGTAAGCAATCGGCGCGCCGCCCATGTAAAGGAGTTACGAGAGCGTTGCCTGCCTTTTAGGGATTAAAGTTTCGGATATTTGGAAAGTGGGGAGGATTTAACCTCAATCCCACGGCGAAACACAACGCTAAGGTTGTTTCACGCCGGGTTTCTATGAGAACGTGGTATCACTCCGGTCGTGCCGACGCTTCGATTTTTTTTATATAAACATGACTAATAAAGGCGCTGTGTTGTATTATATTATGCGACATGTAAACATACATATTATTGACTATAATTACTTTATTACTTGTATTTTAATTAAGTTTGATCCTTGAAAAGATTATCCATAAGTACATTTTAAATTGTATTTCAAACTAGGATATTATGAAATTAATGAATACACTACGTAGTTATAATGACTTGTAATAAGATTTTTGTGTAAATATAAAAATAAAATGCATAAACATAACACTTGTTTTATTTTTGTTATAAATAGCGTTAAAACGAACAAAGGATGGTTCGGGAGACATGACACATTTATTATTGCAGGAAAATAACATTTGTAAGACGCGTAGTTATCATTCTTTGTTACAACCGCTAGCCATTTCACTACACAATTCAGTATAAAATGTAGGTCAGACATAAAACAAAAATAGAAATTTTCACTTCAAAAATATATTTGATATATTTATGTCGTACATGTCTATCAAGTGATAAAACTATTCATAGCATCGTCATAAGTGAAATGACCAAATAAAACATCGATAAGAAATTATTATCTAGCGGCGATAAGTCCTCATAGTTATCGCTCAGTACCTGGGCTAGACACGCGGCAAAATGTTCGTGTACTTATTAATACTCGGTCTAATAATACAAATAAACTGTGCGACCATCTGTGATAGTGATGTTTGTCTGTGCAAACGGTACAACAGTGATAAACAACAAGAACTGGAAGGTTTAAAAGTAGTTTGTGCCCACAAACAAGTAAATGTGCTACAGAACAACTACACTTTGCCCGATCTAGTGCATTCGCTAGATTTATCGTTCATAAACATTTCCATTCTACATTCGTCACCACTACTAACGTCCGACACTTTACTAGAATTAATACTAAACGACAATGTTATCACACAAATCGATGTCGACAGCTTCCAACTACCAGAACTGAGAAAATTAGATCTAAGTAACAATCAATTAGAGTTTATAGACAAAGACACCTTCAAAAGCGTCAAAAAACTTGAATATTTAAATCTTGCAAACAACAGATTCACAACATTTACAAAATTAATGTTCCATCGCTTGAGTAACCTCAATGAGATCATTCTAGACAATAACAACTTAGGTCCTGTGCTAAGGAACTCGAATTTATTCGACAGAAGTGGCTTCGGACTGACCGATAAGATCAAAACGTTGAGTATAAGCGGAATCAATCTAAACAAAGTACCGGACAATTTCTTTGTCGATGCCTACGACATGCGGAAACTGATAATATCAAAGAACAATATTAGTCAAATATTTGAAATTCCGTTCACGTTGGAATACCTGGATCTGTCCGACAATCCCATCACCGAAATTTTTGGCGAAGATTTCACTGATTTGGTGGCATTGAAGGTGTTAAAGTTAAACAATTTGCAGATACAAAGTGTCCCTGAGTCTGCATTTCAGCATCTTCCAGCTTTAAAAACATTGGAACTCGAAAGAAACAGGAATCTTACTTCGTTTAGCAAACTGGCTTTTGGTAGGGAAGTTCTGGTAGACGCTGACAATTTTGGCTTAGAAAGATTATCGCTAAAAGGATCGAGGGTGTCCCAATTGGATGAAGATTTGTTGACCCCTTTTGGAGTGCTGACTGAATTAGATTTGCAAGGCAACCCTTGGAAATGTGACTGCCAGATCGTTTGGTTGAAACAACTGCAAATACCAGAGGAACTTAATGACCATTTGAGGTAAGATAAACAACTTGATGGTTTCAATTCAGAGACCTTAATGATCTCGAACATTATTTTTAATTTCTTACAAATAGGTGTCTACAATCTCGTTCTTACAATTGCGCTTAAACCACACATGTCATGATGTAAACGCGTTAAATATAACGATGCAATCATAATTCGATTATACATCAACAGCTAAGGCAACACTCGCCACACGTGCTATATGCACGAACTAGCGTTTAGTTATGCAATTTAAAGTAAAAGAGACAACAAGCGCGACGTCTAATTCTTTACTTGCATTTGTAAGTAGGTAGGTACCTAGCAAGTCTCTTTTTCAAGATGCCTATTGTAATTCAAGCCTCTAGTTCAGCCGTTCATTATTTGCCATACATTTACACCTTTGATTTGGTGAGTTCGCAAGTAGATACCCAAGGGGCCCACGACAGCCAAGGTCATTCTGACCTTGTCCATTTGTGTTTATTCCCCTCCCCGATCCCTAAATCTCCCAAATGCCTAATCCCCAAAAGGTCGGCAACACACTCGTAACTCCTCTGTTGTTACGGGTGTCCATGGGTGGCGCTGATTGCTTACCATCAGGTAATCCGTCTGCTCGTTTGCCGACGTACCTATCACATAAAATAATACAAAAAAGTAAATCTTTTTCACAGATCTAGGTAGGACCTTTAGTTTCTGAGGGAATTTTATTTCAATATACTTAGATTCATTCTTTGTAAACAACGAAATTTCCCTCTTTAAAATAAGTAAGTACCTACACCCCCTAGGAACCTTATGGCGTTGAAAAATAAAAATCAATCTATTGCCACAAAACCATTTCAATGCAAACAAGAAAATCAAAGAGAAATCAGTACAACGTAACAGGAAAATTGCCAAAGCCTTGGAATCCATAATGCGATAGTTTTCCAAACAATAGCTCATATAAATAACTGTGCATAGTTTTGTCATTAAATCTAGTAGCGCACTAGATTATGCGCGCGCTGACCTTGCCTTTATTGTAAGAGATCTTAAGATACATTATGCTGTGTAAATATACATGAGTCACCAACATTATCACACGTAAATAGATTACCGGCTGATGAAAAGTATTACCATATTTAAATTAGACGTTTTTTGTATATCTAGATAATACCAAAAATATGCGCTCAGATACTTTTTGAAAAAAAAATGTTTTAATAATGCCCGTGTTGTTTTGGGCCGAGACAACACTGTGATCTCCAACGGATGGCTTGTGTATATGAATTTCTATGTTTGTCAACACAACCACGACTTGCAAGCAAGTGCGGGGCAAAGTTTCATTAAAAAAATGGGTGCCTTGCCGCCAGGATTTTGTCTAGGGAGGTACTTACAACGACAATGTCTTGAGATTATAAAGCAGTCCCTCTCCTTTTCAATATTAATTAATAATTTGGTCTCTAGTTCAACCCTAACCTACTCGCAATCAGACTCGTTATTTATATGATGTCGTAAATTTTCATACTTCAGCCAAGGTCATTCCGATCCAATAGGAATAGTCATCTTCTCATAGAAAGGAATCTCTATCAATTGCTTTTTTTTCTCGTGTAAGGGAAGTGAGAATGTCTTTGGCATAAGTAGGTACTTATATCATAATTCCACCTTCATACATACCTACCTGGTTTAAATGAAGAATACATTAAATAAAATTATTATTTTGTTTATTTTTCAGATGCGCAACCCCACGGAATTTATTCAACGCGCGAATCTTCGACTTAAAACCAAAGTACTTCCTATGCAACGAGAAACACGCTGGATTTATCATAGCTGTGGTGTCGGCGTGTGCGACTTTAGGCCTTATTGCCTTGTGGATATTTATTTGTATGCCTAAACGACAAACGAGGTGCCATTTTATACAAAATATGTCTTCATCAACCGCAGCATATAGTGTTCTACCAATGGCTTCTAGTTATAACAATAATGACTTTAATAGGTAGGTAAATAGGGATATTTTTCATAAATTAATGGTAGGTATATTAGTTCTAACTAAATGTACGTTTCTTTCCCTTTTACGTTTTATCTACTCAAGCAATTTAATTGCGTACAAAAATATTGTGAAGTAGAGAAAAGTATATAGGTACCTAAGCTAAATTCACGCGAGTAAAAACTCGTTTTTGAAGCAAGTATTGCGTGCGTTCGTGCAGCGGAATGTTGTTGAATTTAAAGATTTTAATTATGCAGATATTTAGTGTATGACGTCGTATAATTGTGTATGGTAAAAAAAAATTTGTGCACGCAACCATTGTGGAGAAATTCACCAAAAACTGATTCCGCTGGGCGAACGTTGTCCTGGCGGAACTTTTTTTAATCCATACACTTTAGAAGAAAAGAGATGTATCCAAAAATTAGTGTGTATTTGTGTGTAATTGTGTATGTATGAATAAAACTAGTGCATGCATAAACTTCGGAGAAATTCAAGTTTCCGCTACGCGAACGTTTGGCCATTAGCTAGTTTTCATATAAAGCGCTTACATAGAGAGCTGTAGATTTTTACATACGTCGTTTTGAATTTGTGTATATTTGTTTAAAAAACAGATTTAGAAAAAATCGTAGGGTTTAAAAGATAAAAATATAAACGTAAAATACGCTTATTAGGTCTTAGCTCTTAAAGTATGCACTTTAGGGTCTAGATTTTCACGTTTATACAAACCTTGTAAGTGTCTGCAACATGTTGCCAAGTATCAATGATGTTTCGTCAGTAATTAAATAGTTATAGGACAAATTTACCAT